TTTATATTTTTGGTGATTTTTTTATCAGCCCTCAAGCAAGACTAGTTTTTTCATTTTAACTCTAGACTTCTAGTCAACGGGCAATTTCACCTTCTGTTAGTTGTAGTTATTAAATGTGGATATACATTTATCTCACACCATATGTACTAAGTGAAACTTGCAGATCATGTCGCTTGTATATGAACTTAAAAATTATTATGTCTAAAAAATCAGGGGCTGATGCGAGCTTACGTTAACAAGCGTTAATCAAAATTCAGAAAGGTTTTGTACCGTTTAAAAGTTGTCATGTCGTCCAAAGACAGAAAGAATATAACTGTCATTAACTTGACAGATTCAGGTTTTGTCTATGAGTGAATAGAGGCTGCACACCTGTCCAAGTCCCACACGTTTTAAGGATATCTCCTATGTAATCAGTTAATGGGAAGTAAGATAGGAATTGAACATTACCTATCCATTTGCTGACTTGTAATTATTAACTTGAATCACTCGACTATAAATAGAGGACTCTCTCTCTCATTTTCAGGATTCTGATTGTAAAAACTATACTCCAATTGTATCTCAACTCGCTATACGCGACCTGGTTGTAATCTCTCATATATACAAAAATAGTGAACGTAAGATTCGTTTTGAGCATCCGAACCATTTTAAAAATTATTTTTTATTTATTTACTATATTAATCATTCATATATAATTTCTAAGAGCAACTTCGCATTTGCATGTGCAAGTGGTTGGTGTTATAATGAAGCATGGAAAAAAAAAAAAAAAAACAATGTAGATGCCAATAGAATTTGTGGCCACTAGTAAATGAGCAGACGACTCAAGTCTTCTGCTATGAAGAAAACTCGATAAGTAATTGCTTACAGACTCAAGTCTTCTGCTATGAAGAAAATTCTGTAAGTAATTGCTTACACCCTTCGATAATGGAGAGGAAGCGGGGAATGGTAAGAACTATCATTAGATGCACTGAGATTCATATGTTACGTACTGTGTTCATTTTATGTACATTTTTGTTCTGTTTTCATCTTCCATTCTGTTCTGCCAAAGATACCTTAACATTGAATGATTCCATTAGCGATCAAAAGAATGAAACTCTCATCTCAGCTGGTGAAAGATTTGAATTAGGATTTTTCACCCCTCATGGAAGATCTGATAAGAGAAGATATGTGGGGATCTGGTATAAAGGGTCTAATCCAAGGAGAATTGTATGGGTTGCGAATCGATCTCCTTGGCTGGATAAGAGTACTGGGATTTTTTGCATTACTGAAGATGGTAACCTCATGGTACTTGATGAAAATAACAAATCAAAATGGTCAAGTAATCTTCAAGGATGGTCTCCCTTTAAAGGGATGGTGAAGCTCTTAGATTCTGGAAACCTCGTTCTAAGCAAAGAAGACAACGGCACATCAAAAGTTGTCTGGCAAAGCTTCAATTATCCAACTGATACATATCTTCCTGGTATGAAAATGCATGGTAGCCTTAATTTGACTGCATGGAAAAGTTCTGATGACCCAGCACCAGGAAACTTTATATTCCAGAAGGATGAAGAAAGCGGAAACCAGTACATTATAAAAAAGAACGCCAGGGATCTAGATTACTGGAGAAGTGGAGTTTCTGGAAAGTTCATCGAGTCTGATATTTTCCTTGTTATATCCTTTATATTATCAAACTTTAAAAAATCTAGCTCCAACATAAGAAATATATTGAAGAATTGTAACAGTTCCAGCCGGTGTAACATGACATCATCTTCCCTCTTCAATAAAAATAATACGATGTTGGTTATGAGTTTTGATGGAAAGATACAATATTTCTCCCGACACAATAAGTCAGCTTCATGGCGTTTGACCTGGTCGGAACCGAGGGATAACTGCAGTGTGTTTAAAGCCTGTGGAAACTCTGCAATCTGCAATACCCAGACAGGGTGCAGGTGTTTAGGTGGTTTTGATCCTGTGTCACCAGGTGATTTTTCTAATGGCTGCAGAAGAAAAACGCCTCTTCTATGCAACAAGTCTGGCGATGGAAACTTCTCGATGTTAGAAATGATGAAACTTGGAAAGCCAGATACCGAACTTGAGACCACAGGTGAAAATGGATGCAGAGAGAAATGCTTGAAAAAGTGCAAAGTGTCAAGCTTATTCATTTGAAACAACAAACATAACAAAAAGAGACAATACAAGAATATCCAGGTGCTGGCTTTGGGTTGAAGATCTCAACAATATTCAGGAGGAATTCACAGATGGTGGCCGTAACATATATCTCCGTTTGCTGCCTTATACAGGTAATTCTCTTTTCGTTTCTGTATCGAACAAAACTTTGTTAGTGTGCTCTTACATTGAAGGATCAATTGAACTATAGTTAACTTTGTAAGTTAGCATACTTCAATTTTTTATAATCGTAGGCAAGAGAGGGAGCTTGAAGGGAAGAATTTACCATCAAATGTTTTTCTAATCACTTGCCATACACCATGATTTCTGAGCGAGACTAGTCTATTTTCCTTATTGCAGAAGTAGATGCTAACAGTAACAGTAGTGGAGGCTTTTATAATCCAAGGATGCAAGGGACTTTGATTGCTTTAGTGACTATGGCAAGTTTGACTGTTCTGGCATGTGTCATTGCATATATCTACATACAAAAGAAAAAGGCCAACAGACAAGGTAACTAATTTGAATGCATTCATACAAATTATATTTAAATAGACAAGGGTTTTATCCATTTAAATAGGACTGATTAAGTTACGAATAATTAATATTTTGAATTCAGAAGACAGGCAAAGAGCTCTGGCGCTTCACTTATATGACAGTCAGAGGCATGTCAGAGATCTGATAGACTATGGCCAGTTCAAAGAGGAAGATAAAAAAGGAATAGACTTACCTTTCTTTGATTTCGGAAGCATATTAGCTGCTACAGATAACTTCTCTGAAGCAAACAAACTTGGGAAAGGAGGCTTTGGCCCTGTTTACAAGGTAATACACTACTATTGTTCACAAGATTTGTTGATACTGTTGCTACTAGTTTCTTGTCATAAGTTTAATAATCTATGTATTTTTATAAAATAATGCACATTCCAGGTTTAGTTTTCAGGAGGTCAAGATATTGCTGTAAAGAGGCTCTCAAGTGTTTCAGGACAGGGTTTGGAGGAGTTTAAGAATGAGGTTATGTTGATTGCTAAGCTCCAACATCGGAATCTTGTCAGACTTTTGGGCTACTGTATAGAAGGGGGCGAAAAGATTTTGCTCTATGAATATATGCCTAACAAAAGCTTAGACTTCTTTATATTCGGTCAGCCTCTAACAAGTCTAATTGTCTGCGAATAAACGATATTGTATTTTGTTTAATACAAAATGACCATAGTACTAATATTAATATTATGATTTCGATTGGGAAATGAAAACTTTTCCAGATCGTACTCTCAGTATTTTATTGGATTGGGAGATGCGCTTTAACATCATTTTAGGAATTGTTTGAGTACTTCTCTATCTTCACCAAGATTCTAGGTTGAGAATCATTCACAGAGATTTGAAAACGAGCAATATTCTACTGGATCATAAGATGAATCCTAAAATTTCTGATTTTGGATTGGCAAAGATTTTTGAAGGGACACAAACAGAGGGGATTACAAATCGAGTGGTGGGAACTTAGTAAGTTGACATGAGAACATTAATAATTTTATCAAAGCAGATTTTATGTTTTCTAGCATAGCTTTTCAGTTCGCCATTGCAATTAGGAAAAAGATAATACAATTTTTGCCTAATCACAAAAATTATATTGATGGTTGTAATGCAGTGGTTATATGTCCCCGGAGTATGCATTAGATGGATTTTTCTCTATCAAATCCGACGTTTTTAGCTTTGGTGTAGTTGTACTCGAGATTATAAGTGGAAAAAAGAACTCTGGATTTTACAATTCAGAAGAAGCTTCAAGCCTTCTAGGTTATGTAAGTAGTCTGACTTTTATACACATTGCCCTTTTGGCCAATTTTATCTTCTTACCAACTTGTAAAATTTTGAACATCCAGGCATGGAGATTGTGGCAAGAAGACAAGGCATTGGATTTAATTGACCAGAAACTAAGAGAAAGTTCCAAAACAAATGAAATATTGAAGTGCATAAATGTTGGGCTTTTATGCGTGCAAGAAGACCCAGGTGATCGTCCCACCATGTCCATCGTTATTCTCATGCTAGGCGGTGAAACTGTGACCCTTCCAACTCCCAAACCACCAGCCTTCGTTTTAAGGAGAGGACTTTCTGGCACGCCTTCTTCTTCTTGTACTAAACCAGAAATGACAGTCAGTTTAGAAGGTCGGTAGACGATAACCAAATTATTATGCATTTCATCCTTCTCCATATATCAATCTTGGTAAACTTTTATGTGCATCAATTCATCGAACCTCTAGGAAGCTGTTTGATAACTTTTCTTCCCTCGTGGATATATATCGATTTTGAGATTCTTATATTTCAGTAATTAAGTTGATCTATCAGCAGAGAGCAACATTCTATTAGACGAAGAGATGAATCCCAATTCCCAAGTATATTCAAGCTTCAGAATTATAGCGTGATGGAACTAATAAATTAGACCAAAGTGTAAATATGTGGTGAATGATATAGATACGTCACATCGATCAATTTTAATATTAATTAGAATATTAAATGGAGATATAAATTACTCTATAAATTTAGTTGTAACTCGTTTTGTAATCATTCTTTGCACATGTCAATTTTGATTTGAATTGCAAGTTTGGTTTACAGCTAAATTTATAAAGTAATTCATGTCAAAAAAATGATCATTAAAATTCATTCTGCACCAATTATGTGATAGTACAAAATATACTCTTCTATTCTACCCAGTTCAGCCAAATAAGATTTTAAAAATTAGTCCAATGGATTCCACGCTCCAAATGGCCAAACACAGCCTTCATATCAAAGCTTTTAGGACCATAAAAAAAGAAATACACAAAATAAGATGACCTTGACCTTGACTTAGATTGCAGAAAATTTAAATTCATCTCTTCACATGCAAGTAATACCACTCAACTGTGTTGAACGAACCTTGTCGCCTGGTCCATCTATGGGAAGCTTTTGTCCAGAATTGACTGAACCTTTTGCGTTTAGCCAATTTCCTACACTCATCAAATCAAATAAAACTAAATCATTGATTTCATGCTGTAATTATAGTGTTCTCCATTCTGTTAGTTGCAACATATTCATACCCATTAAATGCCAGAATCCCAGGACGCGACTTAAGAATAAAATAACAAATCAATTTAGAGTAATTACAATGGATTATCACCTGGAAGTCTAAAGAATAGTTTGCATCATGAAAGCATATACTACTATGAATTTGCAAGGCAGATAATTAATTGCAGATATTGCAAAATGCAAAATAAGGATGGCCATAACCCGTGTTTTGAGATATTATTCTTTTTTCTTTATTGCAGAGATTACATCATTATTTTAATATTTTTTATTCTTACATTGTTATTACATTTTTGTATAAATATGTTATGTGTTCACTTATAATTCACAACAACAACAAAATCATAACATTTTGCATTGAGATGTAAATAAAATAAAATGATGATGTATTGAATATTATGATAATTTTTTTTTTTTCTTTTTTGTGATCGGAAATGTACATGTCAGTTTATATATATTTGAACTCATGAATTCATAGACCTTTTGCTCTTTTGTGATAATGTGACACATTATTTAAAATGTGTAACTGGGGATAAGACTTTGAAATGAATAATATTATTCCGTTTTATTTGAAAGAATTGGGATGTTTAGTGCATGTCATTATACCACTTGGACCAATAGTTGATATGACCTGCTGTGGAAAAGAAGGGAGAGCGACTTTTTCCCACCCAAGGTTTGGTCCCAACCATCAAGTTTTAAAACGACACTTTCTCATCCACTGTTATTTTTGTTAGCAAAATCCGATACTATTTGATTGTAAAGACAAAAATATCATTTACCATTTGATTAAATATTTTTCTTTTTATTTTATGTCATATTAACAGATTTAATTACATACTCTTTAAATATGAAATTATTGATATGCCTTTTACTGTATACAAATACAATCCCTCCAATTTTAAAAAATAATGTTTTACTGGAATTTAACAAAAAATTATATACGATTTTTTTTCACAAACTCAAAAAACACAAGATCTACCAACTTTCAACAAACCCATTAAAATTTTCAAATGCGCGGAATTAATATCAAAACATCCATAGCACTATCAAATTACAAGAACAAAACTCTCACCAGCTGCTTCATCACTCTATTTAGTATCCATGCACAAAAGGACATGTAGGAAAATACAAACACAAAAAACCTCGCACTTTTATTCTCATCAAAGGTTAAAATATTTCAACCAAGCTTAGCAGATTGAATAGTTACACCACAGAACAAAAATTTGAGAATAGGAACTGCAACTTAACAATACAGTGGGGGCTGGGTGGGGTTTTTTGTTGAACGGGTAGTGGGCGACGTGGCAAGGTAACTATATGAATGGGTTGGAAATCGCAGAAATCACCCAAATGCTCCACAAAGTAGATATAAGAACAACACTTCAAAACCAAATTAAACTCCACAAAATCAACAAAACAATCAACTTTCAACCATCAAACACGAACTTCTCCAAACAACGGCGACAAAGGCAGGGGTGGAGGTGTGAGATGACGGGGAGCGATCGGTGGGGGACGATGAGGTAGATGGAGGTGGCGGCGGATGGTGGGGGCATTGGATGCGGCTGCTTGCAGTCGCGGGGTGCTGCAACTACGAAGGAGAGTGGAGGTCTTTGAGGCGGCGGCTCGGTGGAGAGGTAAGCAGAATGGGTTTGGGGCAATGAAGAGCTGGTGAGAGAGGCATGCAAAGTCGTCGGAAGCGGCGAGAGAGGTCGGCTGTGGCGCCAGTAGGAGGTCGGCTCGTGATTGAAGGTTGCGACGCTGCCAACCCAGCTAGCGGTTGCAGGTTATGCCGGCATTGCAACCTCCAGCGTAGAAGGAAGAGATGATGACGAAGAAAAGATAAGGAAAAGGAAAAAAAAAAAAAAAAAGAGAAAGAAAAGTAAAGAAAAGATAAAAGGGAAAAACTTCACCTACACGGACCGAGATTTTAATTTTAAAATTTGGATTTATGATGCTTTTCAAGTAAAATTGGCCATTCTGCCCTTCTTCAGAATTTTCTAACAGAAGATAATTATGGGTGAAAAAGTGTCGTTTTGAAACTTGATGAGTGGGAAAGTGTCATCTCGCCAAACCTTATGTGGGACATTGTCGTTCTCCCAGAAAAGAAATGGGATTGCCGATTGCGAGAGGATTTGAGTTGGAATAAAAAAAAAATACAAAAGGCAAAATGAAGTGGACAAAAGTAAGTGGAGGTACAGTGTAGCTTATACTTTATAATGGAAGCAGAAACAATCAACAAATCACACGTGATACGTAGTCCTGCCGGGGCACCTGGGTTAAGGATTTTCCCCCCCTTGTTTAACTTTTTAAACGACAACTTTTCGTATTATTCTATTCAAATACATATTTTTCTTAATATTGACTATTTAATTTAAAATACAATTTTATTATATTCAATTTAAAATATATAACAATTATTTTTCTAAATAAATGTTTATAAATTAATAAAAACACTTCTACTCATCCAACTATTATCGACAACCGACCACCACTATCGAACGATGGTCATAAGTCATCGGAATGGCGCATGACCGACTATATCTAATTGTTTGTGTACCGATTTGGTCGAATCTGGCTATTGATGACCAAATATGGCCATTGACAATAGTCATATCTTAGTCGTCGTTAACGACCAAACAACGACTATATTGACCAAGATATGACCGTCGTCAACGGCCAGATCTTTGGTTGTAGAGCTAGCCGAAAAAGGTTAAATCGACACACGATCGGCCAGATCTAGTCGATCGTGTACCATTTCGGTGACTTCCGACTACCGTTCAACGGTGGTGGTAGGGGTGAGCGGTTCTGGGTACCTTGCATTTTTTGGGGGAACTGAAACCAGAACCATATAGTACAGGTTCCCAAAAAAATGAACCGGAACCGTACAGTGCAGGTTCTTAAATTCAAGAACTTGAAACCTAAAATGTAGGTTCCAGTTCCTTTTCTGGGTACCCTATAAAAAATCAATTACCCCTTATTAGTTTAAAAAAGGACAAAAATACCTTAAAACTTTACAAATACACCGCTAACAAATTTTAATTACTCATTCATTTCAAATTTTAATTACTCATTCATTTATGTCTAATGTGACTCATAAATCTTTTAATCTCTAGCAACACTTGAATTCAATCGATTCATCACAATTCATATAAAATTCTTCAATCAAAACCAAAATACAAACAATTAATTAAATAATTATACTATAAATCTATAATTTAATATTATAATTAATTAAATTTCTAATCATTTAATTAATTATTGTACTAATGTTTATAAAACAATATTATAATTTATTAAGTAATCATACTATAAATCTATAATGTAATGTTATAATTATTTAAATTTTTAATTATTTAATTAAGTAATGTACTAATGTTTATAATATAATGTTATAAATTTATAATTAATTAAATAATCATTTAACTATGTAATGTTATAATTAATTAAGCAATTATAATATAATGTAATGTTATTATTAATTAAGTAATTATTTAATTATAATGTAATATTTTAATTAATTAAATTTATAATCATTTAATTAAGTATTGTATTAATGTTTATAATAGAATGTTATAATTAATTAAGTAATCATTTAATTAAGTAATCATGTTATAAATTTATAATGTAATGCTATAATTAATTAAATTTCTAATTATTTAATTAGGTATTGTGCTAATGTAGTAAATTACTAATGTTTATAATATAATGTCATAATTAATTAAGTAATCATTTCATTATGTAATATTATAATTAATTATGTGATAATACTATAATGTAAAGTTATAATAAATTAAGTAATCATATTATAAATCTTTAATATAATATTATAATTAATTAAATTACTAATCATTTAATTAAGTATTGTACTAATGTTGATAATGGAATATTATAATTAATTAAGTAATCATTTGTTTATAACATAATGTTATAATTAATTAAGTAATCATACTATAAATTTATAATGTAATGTTATAATTAATTAAATTTCTAATTATTTAATTAAGTATTGTACTAATATAGTAAATTACTAATGTTTATAATATAATGTCATAATTAGTTAAATAATTATTTCATTATGTAATGTTATAATTAATTATGTGATTATACTATAATGTAATATTATAATGAATTAAGTAATCATACTATAAATTTTTAATCATTTAATTAAGTATTATATTAATGTTTATAATGGAATATTATAATTAATTAAGTAATCATTTAACTATAATGTAATATTATAATTGATTAAGTAATCATTTAACTAGTAATGTATTAATGTTTATCAATTTATTTTATATAATTAATTAATTAATAATTTATTATAGATATATTTAGAACTTGATAATTGAAGTAAATAACTAAATACTATATTATTATTCAATCAAATATACTATTCTATTAAAAAATAATTATTTTAATAACATTAAAATATTTTTAATTGGCTTTAATTCCAATTATACACTTAATTAATCAAAACTTTAATATTAATATATTATATTATATTAAAGTTTCTTACATGGTGTAGCTTATATGTAATAAGTATAATTGTATATTTATTTAATTAAGTTATTGTAAAAATTTAATTTTTTTTAATTTTAATTTTTTTATATGTAAAATTACAAGAGACCCCCTATTCTTCACAGATATTTCATTTTAGCCAAGGTTCCAAAACAAGATACCTACTGCAGGTTCCAAGCAAGGTACTCGTTGCAGGTTCTGGTTCTGGTTCCTCTACATGTAAGAATCGAAATCAGAACCGGAACCGGAACCACATAGTATCGGTTCCAAAAAAATGAAACTGGAACCTACCCGTACAGAATTAGTTTCGGGTAGATTCTGGTTTTGCCCGCTATCCGTGCTCACCCCTAGGTGGTGGCCTACTATCGATAATAGTTGGGTGAGTGTGAGTGTTTTTGTTAATTTATAAACTTTTATTGTAAGAGTGTTCAGTTAAATTAACCAATGAAAGTGGTTTAAAAAATAATTTTAATATTTTTAGAAAATATTTTAAAAAAATACATTAAACATATTATCTTAATCCTATCCTATTTTATTATATCAGAATAAAATACTATTATAACAACTTAAAAAGGAGCAGTCTTTAATTTTAATTTTTAAGATTGCATGAATATTAAAACGATACAGACTAGTGTAAATGCAAGTGGAAGTTACTGGGTATCATCATTGCGTAATGTGTGATCCTGGCATCAATCTCGAGTGTCACCAACAAAAGGTCAAAGAACATTCACAGTTAAAGCAAGAAGCAGGGCCTGTTTAGTTTTTTATATGTAGGAAGCCGCGTCCAATAGGCAATAGCTATCTTTAAGGACCCTACCAAAAAAAATAAAAAAATAAAAAAAAAAGTAAAACGGACAAACTTAGACGACCTTGACCTCGGTTGCCAGCTTCTTCTAGTATTAGTCTATTTTCAGCTTTAACATACTACCAATCAACGTCTGAACCTTATCGTGTGGTCTTTTTTCTGATGATATTGCCCAGATTTGCTTCTGGAACTTTGTGTTTATTCATTTTCCTAAAGGGGCGTTTGATTCGGATGTATCTGCCATTATTAGGGTAATTGATCTTATATTACTTATTACCATATTTGATTATCAAGTAATATAAGATATCAGTAATTTTTAAATACTAATAATGATTATTATTGGTAATATTGAAGGTAATCTGATTATTTTCATTTTCTTAGGTTTTTTGAGATTACCAGACTTATCTTTTTTTGTTACAATTTTATCCCTTATTAATAAAATTTTTCGATAATAATACCCCTATTTTAAAAGAAATTTACAATAATATCTTATTTCAATTTTATCCTCGTTTAATTAAAATTTTAGACAATAATACCCTTGTGTTTAAAATAATTTACAGACCGCCACCGGAAAGTCACCAGAGTCCCTATTAAAGAACCAGATTCGGTGGGAGGCTCTAAGAGGCTTCGGTGTGGCCGTTTCTGGCCATATTAATGGCCGAAAATGGCCATATTAGGCCGGAAATGGCTAGATCTATTCTGGCCATTTCCGACTAGATCGTTGGAACTGGTCGTTAACGGCCAGATCCCTGGCCATTAACGGCCAGATCTCGTCCAGATCTGGCCGGAAATGGCCAGAATAGATCTGGCCATTTCCAGCCAGATCTGGTCTAATATGGCCGTTTTCAACCATCAGTATGGCCAGAAACGGCCATATCAAAGCATCTTAGTCACTGTGAGCTACTCACGGGAACTTTCGGAGACTTCCGACGGTGGTTTATTGTGGCGGCAGGAGGTGGGGGTGATTTCATCATAAATTAAAGTTTTATATAAACGGGGATGTTTTAGCTAAATCTGAAATATTGGGGGTTAAAAAATTATTCAAAAATTAATAATAAAAATAATATTATATTAATATTTTAAAAAGGTACGATTTAGTAATTTAAATAACATACCTACTAATTTATTTCCCATAATCAAACATATTAATATAACATATCCATAAATTAATCAAACACATTTTCCTAAAGATTTCCAATAATCTTCGAAGGTAATCTATTTTTTCAGTAATCCAATATTCCTAATAATCTAACATTCTTAAACCAAACGCCACTCAAGGTTTTCACATCTTACTATGCTATCGATATGTCAAATCAATTAATGAGATCTTGTAATATTTTTTTAACAGTAAATTTCCAATAGAATTTTCAATTCTTTTATATTTTTTGGTAATTTTATTATTAGCCCTCATACAGGACTAGTTTGTTGGGTATGTACTCTAGACTTTTAGTCAACGGGCAATTTCACCTTCTGTTAGTTTTAGTTCATTAAATGTGGACATACCTTTATCTCACACCACATAGACAAAGTGAAACTTGCAGATCAGAGTTAACATAAGATCATGTCCGCTGTAAATCAACTTGAAAATCATGTGGATGCCAGTAGAATTTGTGGCCACTGGTGAATGAACAAACGACTCAAGTCTTCTTCTATGAAGAAAACTCTGTAAGTAATTGCTTACACCCTTCTGTAAGAACTATCATTAGATGCACTGAGATTCAGATGTTACGTACTGTGGTCATTTTATATACATTTTTGTTCTGTTTTCATCTTCCATTCTGTTCTGCGAAAGATACCTTAACATTGAATGATTCCATTAGCGATCAAAAGAATAAAACTCTGTATTTTTGCTCTTGCACTTAGTACCAAATGCCATATGAAAAGTTTAACCACAGTGTTTCACATTAGACCATTGTTAATATTTCGGTTTCATAGATGCCCCAGCTTCCGCTTCCTTTTGAAGTTCTGTCAACAACGTGTTGAAGCATTTGCCTATTAAAATTAAGCATGAGTGGTAATAGAGAAAGAAAAGGGTGTATCCACATGAATTGCTAATCAGATAGCAGAGGCGCATTGAATTACCAAGAGTAACTGAGCAAAATTGTTGCAAGAATTGAAGAACTGCTACAGGACAGTATAAGGATGGAAAGGCCCGAGAGAAGAGTAACCGTTAGAAGGCCTCCAAATCCAAATAACCAGCCATCTACCATCTGCTTTCTGTACACGATTTTGTCATGTTCCTTTGTTCTATGTTGCTCTACTAGGGATACTATAACAGTAGACAGTTTGCTTAAAGATGGAGAAACACTTGTGTCAGCCGGAAACAGATTTGAACTGGGCTTCTTTAACCCAACTAAAAGATCTGAAGGGAACAGAAGATACGTTGGAATATGGTACTACAAGTCAAATCCACGAGTAGTTGTATGGGTTGCCAATCGGGACAACCCTCTTCCAGTTTCTATAGGAGTTTTTGCTATTGCAGATGATGGCAATCTCAAGATATTCGACGCAAACGGAAGTGTTCATTGGTACACAAAATGTGAAAAGTCTTCCTCTCCATCCCGGGTGGCCAAGCTCATGGATTCTGGAAACTTGGTTCTCACTGATGATCGTTTGGCGACGAGTTCATGGGAAAGCTTTAAACAACCAACTGATACATTTCTTCCCGGCATGAAGATGGATGAAAATTTAACATTGACTTCGTGGATTAGTCAAGATGATCCGGCAGTTGGGAATTTCACGTTTGGGGCTGTCCTAGCTGACAACCAATATCATATCTTGAGAAAATATCTTCCATACTGGAAAAGTGGGGAGCCCGGGAAATCCTTTACTGAAGATGAAATGCCTCCCTTCATAACCAAACTCTTATCAAATTTGAGCCAGAACCTGAATGTCAAACCTTCCAATTCCAAATCTCCCTTTGATAATATAAATATGTCAACCATTGACCTTAATAATTCGAGGCTGACTATGAGTTTTACTGGGCAGATACAGTTATGGAGCAAAGATAAAGTGAAGGGATGGTCTTTGATTTGGTGGAAACCAAGAGACAGATGCGGTTTAATAAATCATTGTGGGAATTTTGGCATCTGTAATAGTAGCAATAAGTTGGAGTGCACATGTTTGCCAGGCTTCATGCCAGTGTCACCTGAAAATTGGGATTCTGGAGACTATACAGGTGGATGCCAAAGAAAAACTAAATTTTGTCCCGGAAAGGATTTGTTCTTAAGTTTAAAAAAGGTGAAAGTGGAAAGTGAATACTCCAAGGTTCCGGCCACAAATGAAACAGACTGCTTGGAGCAGTGCCGTAACACTTGCCAGTGCCAAGCATATTCATATGATGAACCCAAAAACAGCACACGAAGAGGCGACCCAACAAGTACTACCACGTGCTTGCTTTGGACAGAGGATCTCAGTGGTATTCAGGAAGAATATGGCAATGATGGTCCTGACCTCCATGTCCGTGTGGCAGCTTCTGACACAGGTATCTCTCACCCCCTAAAAAAATGTTTGAATTACCTCAAACAATGACAATGGCCGATGAGGTAAAGGTATCTTATCTAATTAATAAAAATACACAAAAGAAGTAAAATTTCCTTCCAACTGGTATTTATTTTGAAATCATTTCGGCCAAACGTATTTTGTTATAAATATTTTTATATTCTTTTAATTGCATATCTTGTATTTGTCTTTGACATTGGGAAATATGCAAAGGTTATTTCTGTATACATTGTTATATCGAAGTGAGACAATTCAAATTCATTTTGTAGAAAATGGGAATACTACGCAAGATGGAGGTGGTTACCCAAAGCGAGGAAGGAAGAAATGGACGCTGATTGTTGGAGTGACTGTTGCCGGTGTGATGATTTTGTCTTCCACCACTGTCTATTTTTACTTACGAAGAAAGACCGTCGAAAGGCAAGGTAACTAGTATGCATTGAGTACATTGCACTTAAAAAACTAATTATAATTGAATTATTTATGGGTTCTTCCATTTAAATAGCACATTGCTGAGATATGCTGTTAAATTTTTTTAACTCAGAAAACAGGGAAAGCATTCGACAGAATATGGCTGCTCGTTTCTATGACAGTGCAAGACATGTCAAGGACTTGGTAGAAACGGACCAATTTAAAGAAGATAAAAAAGGCATAGATTTGCCTTTCTTTGATTTTGAAAGCATACTAGCTGCTACAGATAATTTCTCAGAATCAAACATGCTCGGAAAGGGGGGGTTTGGGCCTGTTTACAAGGTAAATATTCACAGGAGTCATCAGTACCTCTAGTCATATGTACAATCATTCTCATAACAAATTTGATCGCAGGGTAAGTTTCCAGGAGGTCAAGAAATTGCTGTAAAGAGGCTCTCAAGCGTTTCAGGACAGGGTTTGGAGGAGTTTAAGAATGAAGTAGTGTTGATTGCAAGGCTTCAACATCGTAATCTCGTTAATCTTTTGGGTTACTGCTTAGAAGTGGGTGAAAAGATTTTATTCTATGAATATATGCCCAACAAAAGCTTAGACTCCTTTATATTTGGTAAGCCACGAGACTAGCATGTCCGAACTATCTATTGATCAAACTTATATTTTGCTTTATTGAAAATTACCATAGTCACGGACATATGTTTTTTAATATGAAACAAAAAAATTTCAGATCCTACACGCAGTGTTTTGTTGGACTGGGAGATGCGCTTCAACATCATTTTAGGAATTGCTCGAGGAATTCTCTATCTTCATCAAGATTCTAGGCTAAGAATCATTCATAGAGATTTGAAAACAAGTAATGTATTACTAGATCACGAAATGAATCCTAAAATATCTGACTTTGGCTTAGCTAGGATTTTTGAAGGCAAACAAACAGAGGGTAGCACAAATCGAGTGGTCGGAACTTAGTAAGTTTTCACAATTCTCCAATTCAATTGGGAAAAATATGTATAATTGTAATTAATCCAATAAATCATGATAAAATTTTATTATTTTAATTGATGCAGTGGCTATATGTCCCCAGAGTATGCATTAGATGGATATTTCTCAATCAAATCGGATGTCTTTAGCTTTGGTGTTGTTGTACTTGAGATTGTAAGTGGAAAAAAGAACACGGGATTTTATAACTCAGAAGAGGCATTGAGTCTTCTAGGCTATGTAAGTGGCTAAACCTGTATTATCATGTAACTAATTCTCCTTTTGGCCAATTTCTTCATATTGTTTCAGTTTAAAACTTTCAGGCGTGGAGATTGTGGCAAGAAGACAAGGCACTGGATATAATGGACCAAAAATTAAGTCCAAGTTTCAACAAATTTGAAATTTTGAAGTGCATAAATGTTGGACTCTTATGTGTGCAAGAAGACCCAAATGATCGGCCCACCATGTCCAATGTTGTTATCATGCTTGGCAGTGAAACTGCGACCCTTACAACTCCTAAACGACCAGCCTTCGTTATAAGGAGAGGGCCTTCCACTTCAGCCTCTTCCTCCAGTAAACTAGACATTAATTCCGAATTGACTGTTAGTTTAACAGGTCGATAGTTCTTATTGTCTTTGTCCTTTTATTTATCAATCTGGAGAACTCTTGTGCATCAAATAACTATTCTCTACAGAAAGTTCAGGGTTGTGGTTTATATCCTTAAGTTTCATTATTGTAGGGATTGCCTCTTGAAGTATCAGATGGCCTATAATTTCACTAATATGAATTTGTAATATCATGATCCAAATATCACATCTAATATTAGGATTCAATTATTAATTGAGTCTCTTGAGTATTACTCTCTTGTGCATCTCATCTCATACCTTTGTTTTTAAACATCTGTTGTTATATTAGCTATATTATTTTTATTTCCTATCGATAGTTTCCTTATATCTGCTAAATTAAAAAGTTTATATCACGAGAGAATCTTCATATAGAGGATATACGTACATGAACATGATCAATAAATAAATAAATAAATAAAACTTCGTTAAAATTTTTTTTTTATATAATTCTACTGTTGTTTCAATAGGTTCATATGATAATTAAAACTACAAGGAAATATATGATATGTCACAGTAACACCTATGTGTCAATATCTTCCACTTTAAAAAATTAAAAATAAAAGAAAGAAAATTCATACATTATACATTTTGTGAGGAGTCTGATTGATGTGTGTCATATTTCATGCATTATTTCTTGATTATATAATGTTTAATATGAGATAGTTAACTAGTTTGCATTATATTTGAAAAAAAAAAAAAAAAAATCATTCGTGCTAATACATTTATACACCTTAATTATTTTTTAGGCGTATTATCATCAACCTCCTGAGGTTTAAGGGTTGCTAATGAACTCCCTGACGTTCCAGAAATTCTCACCTACCTCCCATGGATAGTGGATACCGTTTTTTAACATTATATTCTAACGGTGACTGTTAAAAGTCGATAATACCCAAAGTAACAAAATCTATTTGGTCCTGGCGCTTTCAATAATTCAGGACTCTTTTATTTCAAAAACTAGTGAATATGTCCTAAACAATTAACTGTTACCTCTACAAGACTACAAAGAATTCATTACAACTCGGAATCATTTTTGTAAATCTCATAAATAAAGTCAATAAAACCAAAAAAACATTTCCATAGCCTATTTTAATTTTTAAACAATATATATCCATTTAACATTATGTAACAAATATGCATCAAACCCAACACTGGTGTATTCATATTAAATCCCCTGAAAAGATTTAAATCGAATTATAAAATTAAAATCATTCATAGTTGAACACACTAGTTCTTTATCGACATAACTTCACGGCAACCAGAGTTAAACTTAGAACAATTTTGAGGGAGAACAAAATTTTCCTAACCAAGTTTTGGCAAAACAACACTTTCCCACCCTTTAAGTTTCAAAATGACACTTTCTCACCCTTCGTTAGGTTTTATTATGTTTTTCGTTAATATTTTACTGAAAAGACAAGAATACCTTAAATATTTGATTTTATAAATTTTATTATTATTTTTTAATTACCCAAAAAGTCAAATATTAAAAGGTCAAAAAAAAAAAAAAATTGTTAACCCTACCTAAAAAGTTAGGAGTAATATTATGAAATTGTTTAAAATTGAAAAGAATTGTTTAATATTTATTTATTTATAATTTCACCCATATCTCATCACTATTATTCAATAATCTATTAAATTTATAATGTTTTTTATAATATAATATTTTTTATTTTTACTAATTAACATAAAAATCAATATTCTTAATTAATTATTCTCTCTGTTTCTATATAAGTGTCGTTTTAAGTTTTTACACAGTTTTTAAGGAATAAAAAAGTGTGAAAAGAATTGACTTTTTCGGTGGAAAATTTTGTTTCTCACTTTGCAACACGTGTGTGAGACAGTGAAATATTAATTAAGAGAGAGAGACAAATCATGAAAGAGAGGAGATGAGGGGAAGAGAAAGATAAAAAGAGAGAGAAGTGTGGGGCAGGGTAGAAAAAGGTAGAGAGAGGAGATGAGGGGAAGGGTAAAAAATGAAAAAATGGGTCATTGAAAGAAGAGAATGTCACTTATTTTGAAACAAATTATTACCTCCAAAATGACACTTATATAAAAACCGAAGGAATAAATAAATAAAGGGAAAAAAATATCTTTACATTTGAATAAATAATTAAGTAAAAATTTTGATTTAACTAAATTTTAATTTATAATAAATTATTTAAAATTATTTTCGTTTTTTTAATTAAATATTAATAAAAAATACTAACAAAACATGATCCAAATGGAAAAGTGTCATTTTTAAACTTGGCTGATGAGAAAGCGTGGTTTTCGCCGATCCTTGGTGGTAAAATGTCGTTCTCGCCAGTTTTGAAACAAAATTCCAGAAAAGATGAATAATAATAAATAAATAAAAATTCACAATTACGAAATCCAAACGTCGAAATCGTATACATAAAGAAACTCCTAACCCCTCTGGCCAAGTCGACCAGCCAGAACAGCCAAATCTAAGTGACATGGCCCGGCCGGTGGAGATTCGTTAAGAGCAATTTTTCATTTTATATCCACTCAAAACCAAACAAAAAGCAAAGAAGAACTAGGGTGAGGCAAAAATTAAAAGAAAAAAGAAACAGCATACTCATTAGAAACTATGTGTTGTTCAAGCAATTCATCAAACACTTGTTCAACAACAATAACAACTTACAAAAATTGAAACTTTGCGCACTTACAAAAGCCGATAATACATTACAAATTAAACCCACCCACAAATTAAGTTAAAAAATATCTAAAGTTTTGAACAAAGAATTAAAAAGAACAAACATGTGTGGGTGATGCGTTTTACGAGATTGGTGCTGGCTGTGAGAGTGGAGGGTGTGTGTCTCAGTTCTGGGTTTTGGGGGTTGATGTGTTGCCGGCTGCTGGTTTTACTAGGCAGGTTAGCGGCTTCCGGGTTTTACTTGGCAAGGTCTGTTTTCGGCTGCCGGATTCTACCGGGCGAGGAGCGATGCCGGCTGCTGCGTTTTTCTAGACCTGGAGTGTTGCAGATGCAGAGGTGCTGGGTTGAGGCGTTGGATGCTGGGTTCTTCTGGGATGGGTTTACTTATTTTAATTTATTTTCTTAATTTTAGATTTTATTTTATAATTTAAAATTCCAAATTACTTTTGATTGTGTAATTTTTGGTTTTAAATTCTTTTAGCTGTCAAAAGACAGATTTGTCCCTTTATTTTAATTTCTTACCGTTAAAAGACGGTATTCAGGAGAGCTAGATGAGAAAAGTTAATACTTGAGGAGAGGTAGTTGTGATTACTAGAAGATTAGGGAGTTTTTAAATAATACGCCTATTTTTTTACCACCCAGGATATGAGTATAAAGTATAAACTAATATTATGTATGTCACCAATTAAATTGGTGTTGGATTTATATAATAAACTGCTATACATATGAGACTAATAAGGGGTTGTGTTCTTACTCTTACTATCTTAATTGTTTTGGTGCCACCCATATGTATTTTTTTTTTTTTTTTGAAAAAGTGAGAAGAGAACCTGAGAACTTTTTACTCTACTATTCATCTACTATTGTTGTTGGTGATGTATTTTGGCTTGTATTTTTATTATTCTTTAATGAATTGCCCATGTTTATAATGTGTGTTCGTGGTTATGGAGATATTTGTCAAACATTGGACAATATTATATATAATCTTTATCAATTCTAATCCGTTTAATCAAATATGATCCTAAAATTGGGGATAAAGTTTTCATCCCTAGTTATATCTTATGGGGCATTTGGATCATATAATGTTTTATTATGAGGAGATGTTATATTAATAGAAAGATAGATCATCATGAAGATTACTGAGAATGTTTAGAAAATGTGTGTAATTGGTTCGTATAAATTAGTGAATAATATGTTTGGTTAAGAGGATAAATGAGTGGGTAAGTTATATAGATTGCTAAATTGCCCACCTTTTAAATATTAATATAATATTATTTTTTTTGAAATTTTTTTTAACTCCTACATTTAGAATTTTGCTAAAATACCCTAGCCATATAAAACTTTAATTTATAGCAAAATCACTCCCACCCACCCCAAGCCACTACCAGCAGCCAGCCACCGCCGTTGGCAGTTGACAGAATGGAGTACAACTGATTGTATATGGTCGGCCATGTGCTGGCAAAGCTATTTTCGGCCATAGATCACAAATCCATAGCCATTTCATGGCTAAAGATATGACCATGAAATAGCCACAGATTTGGCCATGAAACGACCATAGAAATGACTAGATCTGGCCCTTTTTTTGTCATGGATCATAGATCCATGGTCGAAAAAGACCTTACCAATGCATGACCAGCCAAATCCCTCCGGTCGTGCACCATTACGGTGATAGACGCCAGTGATGGTCTTGGGTGGCTAGGGTATTTTGTTAACTTTTAAACTTTTTTGTGGTTGTGGTGTTTTAGCTAATTTCTCAAATGTAGGGGGGCTAGGTAACTATTATTTGGTAGACATTTGAGGACAATTATGTTTAAAATGACATTTAATTAAAGGCAAAATAGGTATAAAAATTAGATTACCTGGTGATCTTTTAATCCCAAGGGTGGGGGAGGGTATCGGATTACCCCCTACATTATCAACAGTAAACACTATTTGCAATAAAAGATGCCTGTAATATTTTATTACTTGCAAACCAAACACCGGAATCTTGCAAAATAAACAAAGATTACCCTCGTTATCTTATATGTCTCTGATCAAAATGCACCCTTAGTATGTTCTTTAAGGATAAAAGTTCTACTTTTCAACTATTGCAGCAATATTACTTAACTTAAACCTAAAGGATGAAAATGTTTTTTCCCCTACAAAAAAAAAAAAAAAAAAAAAAAAAAAAATTTTTTACCCAAAAAAAAAAAAAAAAAAAAAAAAAAGAAAAAAAGGAAAAAAAAAAAAAAGCAGTCCTATTTATTTCACGTTTTGGAGGGCAAGACATAGCTTGGCATCTACCATTTAGGACCATAAGAAAAAGCAAAAATAAACAAAACTAAGATGACCTTGACCTAGGCTGTAGATAGGGTGTTGGCTGAATTGAGCTCAAGTGCCCATTCGAGGTGAGCCCGAGCTAGCTAGTACTTGGCTCGATGACTTGCGAGCCTTCACGAGCTTGA